AGCAGCTGTTACCTGTTCTTCATCAGTCACAGCTTTATGTGTTAGTGGCAAAGAGAAGGCCAGTGTTGAAAAAAAAGCTCATAATAAATCTTGACCAGAGTTCACCAAAAGGTATTTGGAAGACTGAAGTCAACTGGAAAAGGGTTCTTTGGTCTGATAAGACTGAAATGGAGCTTGTAGGACATCAAACTAGACAGTGTGTTTGAAGGACACTAAACATTGCACATCATCACGAATGCACTATTTGTACCCCACCCAGCCCAGAGAACAGAGAAAATGAATGCAGTTGTGTAGCAAAGTAGGTTTTGGGCAACAGGGTAGACATAAACTAATGATGTGTTTAGTCAGCACAGGAGTACTGCACCTAAACTATTAGTCTTGCATTTTCTTATTACAGAAAGTCTAAAAATAAGTCTCTACCCTCCAAACTCTATATCTAGAATATCGCTCATATTACAATCTCATGTACACCGCTCTAGCTGCTGGAGAAGCCAGATAGCCCCAGTAATTGTAGTGAGATGCTGAGCTATCATGTAATCGCTGTTAGGCAGCGGGGTGCAGTAAATCATTAGTTGAATTTTGCTCTACTTCTGATGCCAGAAGACGCATAAACAAAGATGCAAAACACAGCAGCTGTTAGAGAAGAGGGCAGAAACCTTCACCGAAAGGTTGCTGGGGGGATTTTTAAGCAAATAGGAGGAGTGTGGTGAGTGGAGCGAGAACATAACGTTTCTAAACAACACAACAGAAAGGAAGTGAAGTAAGTGCAACAGATTTGTTACTTCCAAAAGTGGGAGATGCTCTCTGTCGTCATGGTTACGATGCAGTATACCAAAACAACCTCCACCACAAGATTTATGCAAAGCTTTGAAGTGAGTGTGTGAGACACAGATGATAGGTGTAGAGTAGAGGTTATCGGTTCCAGTTGCATGCAGTTTCCAAGAAAGGCTGCTCGTGTATTCTCCGCCTTTCTCCATTCTTTTCCACAGTGAGAGAAAAGCTTGCTGATGTGACCTCCTTTCCTCCTCCTTCAGTCCCTCATTGTCTCGCTCTGGCTCGGCTTTCTGGAGCATCATCTTGACTCCCTGTCATTCGCGCAGACAGAAGGCCAGACATACGGAGACAAATGAGCAGACACATGGAGACAGAGAAATCACAGTCAGATGAAGAGGATGAGAAAATGCAAATGCGCATCCCTTCAGCATCTTTAGTAAACAGAGGGCTAAATAAAAGCAGATGCACCATGTGTGTGTGTGTGTGTGTGTGTGTGTTTGGGTGTGTAAGTGGGGTACTTTGACCTGCTTTAGTCTGTTTATGTCTGTGTCCTAGTGAGTGTCAGGCTACGAAAGGCTACTGCACTAATGTATGCTCCCGTATGGAAAGATCAGGTCAGTGTGTGGTTGAGTGTATGCGCTCGTGTTGGCTGAGCATTAATCCCACATGCACTTAATGGACGTCTGCCCGTTGTGACCATCAGTCATCCAAAAGGAGGAACTGTATGGGAAAAATGTGATCCGTCAAAAGGGAGAATGTTATTTATACTGGACTAGCGGCTAGCAGTGATCATTAGACGGTTTTGAGAAAACGTTGCGGTTGCGCTGATCCCTCAGTTGGGAGTCGCCGGCGAGCACAAGTGTGTGACACATTCTCATTTGATTAAAATAGCGAAACACCCTCCTCACCTCCTTCCTATAGTGACCTAGCTTGCATAGAAGCACAAACCAGCAGATCATTGTGCTAATCTAAATATATCCATCTGTAGGCCACTATCTGCAGCACCACATGTGACACATGTTGTGCAGAAACATGACGTAATTGAAGGTTTTCCCCCATTTCCTACAACAACGTTTCTGTCCTGATGTGCAAGCAAGCTTTTGTTCACGATTAGACTTTGAGAACTACACACAGACTTGTTATGAATACAAAAAGGAGCATTGTGCCAAAAGCACCCCAGGGATTGCTTTTGGTATAATTTGATCAATTTTACACCTAATTTTATGCTCAGACAGTGGAAATATCTGTGACAATAATAACAATAATAATAATACGGATAAATGTTGTTAATAAAGCACTGTTCATATGTAAAATGCAATACAAAGTGTTTACAAAGTGATTCTAATTCTAGCATTCAGGATAAAACAATTAAATAACATAGAAACATTTCCTTTTTTAAAATATAATGCCTTCTCTTCACTCTTTTTCTCTCCATACATTTATATGGAGAGAAGTTGCATATCACTGACTTGGTGTCTTTTCTCTCCTATACGTGTCTTTTCTCTCCTACACGTTTTTTCCTCTCTGCAGGTATTTCCAACTCTGGAGCTACACATTTCTAATGTTGTCGGCCTC